GCTGCTTGGCCTGCTGTGTTCATCCAGCCCTGCACCTTGTTATCTCGGATTCTCCAGCATCTGCAGTTCCTACTATCTCTGATACAATGTAGACCAGGTCTGTTATGCTTCATGTAAATGGTTCAAAAAAAACAGCAAAGTCTTTCTTCTGTCAAACAAGAAACATTTGATTCCAATAGATCAATAAAATATTAGATCCTCCTTCCTTACATAAGAATCTCACCGTAGATTTAATGTAAAAACTTCAGTCTTTCTAAACCTGGAAACTATTCACTGACTGTATGGTTGCTGGGAATTCTAGCAGAATGCTGTCGAGAATTTGGCTTCAAGCTCATTGCTGTATGAAATCTCTGCCAGCAATTTTTTCTGAAAACCCGATCTGAAACAAGTCAAAAGGATTCTGAACAAAAGCAAGGTGAGAGTAAGACAGGAACTTAACTGACCCAATAATGAATTCTTTAACAATGTCAACGCAGGACTTTGATTTCAATCGACCACAAGATCTCCTGGGGCATTTCAACATCTATGACCAACATGAGCAAGGAATTAAGTGTTATCCCATGTTATTTTACTGTCAATGGAAGCATTTATTCCTTTAAGGCCATATAATCACATTGAATGGAAAGACTCAAATCAGAAGCAGCAATATGTATCACACTTGAAATACAAACAAAACTTGTGGCCCAAAATCAATTCCTTACCTTTTCTTCCTCTTCCCAATTTTAGCTGTGATAATTAGCAAAGTAAGTGAGCTGCACAGATGCAGCGTGTCTGATGGAAAAACAATACAATAAAAGCAGGGCAAGAGTGTAATAAAATGGGTGGACTCTAAAATGTGCACATTCCAATGTCAGAGATAAACATTTCACCTGGGATAATGGATATCTGGTAGCATTTAACATGAAGGCTATTAAACAAAGGATGAAGCTGGCATGATTTACAGTCATCACAAGTACATTTGGATTTCAATTCGCACCACAGCTTACACCATTTTAGATTACAACGTGTAAAATTTTACTTTGTATTTAGTTCAATGGTTTTTGTGGCGTTTTCTTAGGTACGAGTTCATTGCATAACTGAAGTCAGTTGCACACTGCTGGAAGTAGATGAAGTTATTTTTGCCAGCACTATTCTCAAGCTTCACACCACCTGACATCTTGCATCAATGAACAGAATGATTTTTGCAGTGGATTATAAAATTACACAGTCACAATTGCACGTTGCAACAAAAATGGTTATGTATCACTCAGTTTAAAAACTGAACTGAATTCACTCCAAGTGCAATAATCCCAAAACAAAAACAACCCTGGGATTTTTTTCTGAGTATCAGAGCTGTCTTGTTCACAATTTTTTGTTGGCAATGGCATCATGACAATGAATAATTTAAGCAATTTTAAAACATAATCCACAAGAATAAGGAGTAACAGTTCAGCAGTAACATCGCCCAGTCTATTTTGATACACATCTTTATCATTTCCACATTAGACTCCTTTTAGAAAGCCAAACAAAACAAAAATGAATAGTTACAACAAAAAGACACCCGTCAACATCACAAGTTAAATTCCTTTGCTGGACAGATAATCTGCTCCAACTGTTGAGATCTTTATTTGCCTGGATTAATTGGAGAATTGTTGAAAAGGTTTGCTCAAATGAGTTTTCCAAGTTGTATACACTTGTTCAGCCAACCTGTTAAAACTTGATTGATGTTAGTTTGCTGCAGCATTTAATTGAACAAATGGATTAGGACAACTCAGCAACCTACACCCCTGACGGAAAAAGGCTTCCTAACTGGGGAGTCGGTTACCCCAAACAAATCCTTAAAAAACTAACTCTATTAAAAGAGCACGAGTTATTTCATGACGAAAAAACATTGAAATTTAGGTTTACAAAAAAATGACATTTTTTCCTGTATTTTGGAGTCCCCAAAAGGTTGTGGATTCTTCAGCACCCTCCAACATTATAATCAATGTACCATTGTTCATTTGGGAATGTCACTACAGCATAATCTACCCTTAAGACAATGAAGATGCCATCAGCAAGAGGTGACGTTTATTATACAGCTGCAGGAAGCCTTAGCCTAGAAACATGAAGATTTTCATCCTCAAAGCCTGGCACTCACTCAGACTTCAAGCCAGCTCGAGAGCAAGCTCTTTAACAATCTAACATTAAATACCCAACTCCCCAAGAAAATCACTTTTCCGTGAAGGATTTTATGTTGCTGAGCTATCCAAATCACAACTGATTTACATCCATCAATATTTATTAGGTTGTCTGAACAAATGCATCCATTTCCAAAACCAAAACGAGCAAACATTCCAAACACTTGTACAATTTAGCCAGCATTAACTCATTGCATGCAACAAACAGAACAAACATTTCTCATTCATGACTAAGGAGACCCTAGTCATGAATGGCAGACTCCATTTTTCCCAATGAAACGTCAATGCATTTCAGCAAAATGCAATTCCTGGTACTCACAGGTTATATGTCACTCCTTAGACAGCTCACTACAAATTACAATGTGTTTTTTTTTTCCCCTTCAGAAATCATAAGCCTGCATTGTGTCATCAAGGCACTCGATGACTACAGAGATTAAAAGTAGGCTCAACTGGAACTACAGTGTGTGTTAGCACTGAACTCTCTAGCATCGGCACGTGCAGGATAAAATCCCCTCCATGCTGCTCAAACAGTCTTCAAGCCTCAATCTCAGCCCTCCTTTGGCACTGATGGTGCTGAGCTCAGTTGGCTGTATGGCTGGTTTGCAATGCAGAGTGATGCCAACTGTGAGGGTACAACTCCCACACCAGCTGAAGTTACCAAAAAGATCCTGCCTTCACAACCTCATCCCTTGTCTGAGGTCTGGTGACTCTCAAGTTAACCTCACCACCAGTCAATTGTCTCTAATGCACAGTAGCCCTATGGTCCTGAGACTATGGCAGAATTACCTTTACTGTATTTCCACTCGTATTATGGGCATGTCAAAGCAAGGCTGGGCTGACTTTTTTTGGTCAAATAATGGGAATAAGGGATTGGGTTGAAAACTGCCAAACTCCGATTTTATAGACTGTCCACGTTAGCAGGTGGTTGGATTCAAGACCAGCTGCCTGGATTTGACCCTATCTGTTCACTGTTTCCCATTACTTCACTATCACTCAGTACACAATTTGGTAGCACTTGGACATTCAGCATCGCTACTGTGAATTAACTATACTGAACTTTTACTTTCTTACTGCCCAATCACTGGGACAAATGTGGGCATTTTGACATAGTGGAGAAATGCCCGTTTCTGCAGTGAAATGCACCTTACCCACTCAGAATGGCAATCATTGATCCGTGAGCAAAACAGTGATGAACAAGTCAGAGCAGAGAAAAAAAAAAATCCATCGTAGCTGTAAGCAGGAATCTTTTTTGTCCCACTCACACAAGGAGGGGAAGAAAAGCAACTCAAAAGAAAATGGGTAAACTTACAGGCGATTCAGTAGGAACTGCCGATGCTGGAGAATCTGAGATAACAAGGTGTAGAGCTGGATGAACACAGTGTAGACTTATAGGCATTGTTTTATCTCCAACAGCCTGTTCAGTGGTCTAGCTTTTTACATATTTCAAGGCAGGAGAGTTACTTCTGTCCAAAATCTATCTTGCACTTCTCTGAACTAGGGCAGCAATCTGACAAGTGTTCAAGAAAAGGATTATTTTATTTTATGATAATAGAGAATTCCTCTC